CCAGAAGTAGATGGTGTGGGCATTTCTGCATGTATCAAAATATATATTATTATCATGAATACTGAAAATAGATCAAATATAAATACTCTTTCGTCAGTTACCATCAGATTTGCATGAATTAGATATGGGGTAATATTCTATTCTGACTAAAAAAATCTCACTTTGTAGATGCCTATGATGCCTATGCCTAAAATGATTATGCATTTGAAAGAGAATTGTCAGGAGTTTAGTCAAGTCAGTCACACACCATTTAGTGTCACTGCTACTAGTTATGTCAAGTGCAATAAAACAATTTATTAAAAGTCGAAATGCCATCTTATGTCTTTAGACATTGTAAAATTATTATGCAAGTGTAAGGTTATAATGTATCATTTAACACAACTACTTTTACAGATTTTACAGCGTTTCATTTCACCATCATCATCATTACAGCCCTTCACAAGTCACTGCTGAACATAGGCCTCCCCCAAGTAATACCACAAAGCACGGTCCTGAGCCACCTGCATCCATCGACTTCCTGCATATCTTACCAGGTCGTCACTCCATCTAGTGGGGGGTCGCCGTACACTACGCCTACCGGTACGAGGCTGCCACTCAAGAACCTTTCTTCCCCATCGGTTATCGGTTCTTCGAGCTATATGGCCGGCCCATTGCCACTTCAGCTTACTAATCCGTTGGGCTATGTCGGTCACTCTGGTTTTACTGCGGATATCCTCATTTCTGAGTCTATCACGCAGAGAAACTCCGAGCATAGCCCTGCTCGCTGAGCGACCTTGAGCGTCCTCATACGGCCAGCAGTGAAGGACCACGTCTCAGATCCGTAAGTCATCACTGGCAACACGCACTGGTTGTACAATCTAGTTTTTAGAGATTGAGGTATACCTGACGAGAAGATGTGTCGTAATTTCCCGAACGCTGCCTAGCCGAGTTGAATCCGTCGATTGACCTCTTGGTCGAAGTTGGACTTACCTAGTCGGACTATTTGTCCTAGGTAAACGTACTCGTCAACAACTTCGAGCATAGTGCTCCCAACAACTACCGGCATAGGTGTGACATGGACATTAAACATGATCTTTGTTTTATCCATGTTCATTTTAAGACCTATTCGTTGGGAGACACCATTGAGATCATTGAGCATTGTGCTAAGGTCCTCTAGCGATTCTGCCATAAGGACTATATCGTCGGCAAATCGAAGGTGAGTGATGTACTCGCCATTGATGTTAATACCGTATCCTTTCCAGTCCAGTAGCTTGAAAACGTCTTCCAACGCAGCGGTGAAGAGTTTCGGGGATATGACATCACCCTCTCTTACACTTCTCTGCAGTTGGATAGGTTTCGAGCTCTGGTTCTGTACTCGGATAGCCATCGTAGCCCTACTGTACAAACACTTCAGCACTTCGATATACCGACAGTCAACTTGGCACCGCTGAAGGGACTGTAGCACCGCCCAAATTTCGACGGAATCAAAGGCTTTCTCATAGTCACACACGCCAGGCAAAGTGGCAGATTGTACTCTTCAGTCTTCTGTACAATCTGCCGCAGGGTATGTATGTGGTCTATGGTACTGAAGCCTTTTCGGAAACCGGCTTGTTCGGGAGGCTGGAAGTCGTCGAGTCTGCGTGCGAGACGATTCGTAATGACTCTCGAAAACAGCACGTAGACGCGGCTCAGAAGGGAAATCGGTCTGTAGTTCTTCAAGAGAGCGTTGTCGCCTTTCTTAAAGAACAAGACCACCGCACTTCTGCTTCACGCCTCTGGAGTAGTGCCACCATGGAGGACGGAATTGAAGAGCTTCTGAAGGACTTCAAGTACCGGTGTTCCACCCGCTTTCAGAAGCTCCGCTGTAATTCCATACTCGCCTGGGGCCCTGCCGTTTTTAAGGTGCTGGAGAGCCATTCTAATCTCGCTTAGACTGACGTCCGGGATATCATCGGAATAGTGTCGGATAGATCGTTACTCACACTTGCGTGTGGCTCCAACGATGATGTGTACAGCTGCCAATAGAACCTCTCAATCTCACTTAAAATCTCAGGTGTCCCGGAAACGATGATGCCGCACTCTGTATTCAGCTCTGACAATTGGCTTTTACTGGCAGACAGATCTTTTACAAAGACTTTGGAGCTCTGGTTCCGCTCGATCGCTTCTTTTCTTCTCGAGCGTTTCATTTAGTTGACTTTAATTGAATTATGGGTGCTTTCCAGTCTTTAAAAGCTGAGCGTACTCCAGGTAACACTGACATTGGGATGTCAATCACCTCAGTCACCTGAAACGTCGGGAATTAAAATCAACTAACTTTAACGCGATAAGATCTGTACAAATAGTTTTATTCAATGTGTAGTGTTCGAGTAAATATAAGGAATTATAAAGTATCATTTATTTAAAACACTAAATCTGTATCTAATAAAAGTCATTGAGTGTAACACAAAATATTCTGTCAAATAAATATATCTTCATATATTTATTTGACTGAATATACCTTTTCTCAAAAATATCACTTACCATCTCTCAAAAAATTTTGAGGTGACAACCTTCATCATTTTAATATTTTATAAATTAGATGGCATCATGGGCATCAGAATACTTATAAATAAAAATGACATATAAATGAGGCACATTACAATAGTGGGTATAAAAGGTATTGCATTATTTACCAATTGCAACTACAAAATTATACTTGTATGCATTGACAGTGATGACATACGGATCTGAGATGTGGTTTACTGTTGGACATATAAGGAAGCTCAAGGTTGCTTAGAGTGCTATGGAGTGAGCTGTGCTCAGGGATTTACCACATGATAAACTTAGAAATGAGGGTATTTGCAGTAAAACCAGAGTGACATAGCGGATTAATAATCTGAAGTGGCAATGGACCATCAATATAGCTCGAAGAACCGACAGCCAATGGAGAAGAAAGGTTCTCAAGTGGCAGCCTTGTGCCGGTAGCCAAAGTGTAGGGCAGCTCCCCAGTAGATGGGGTGACAATCTGGTAAGATATACAGGAAGTCGATAGATGCTGGTGATTCAGGACTGTGCTTTGTGGAATTCCTAGGGGCAGGCCAATGTTCAGCTATGGACTTATAAATGGCTGTCATGATGATGATAAAGTAAGTTTTATAATGATTTCTTAAATTTACGCGAACACATTGAATAAAACTATTATTTACAGATTTTATCGCGTTTAATTACTTTAATTTATTTTTATTATTATCCCTACGTTTCGGGTGCTTTACAGCACCCATGGTCACGGGGGGGACTGAGATGTTTGACGTCCCAATGTTATAGTTAGTCCGGCTACCTTCAGTTTTTTTTATTTTAATTTTTGGTCCGATTTACGCAAAACGAGCTTATAGTATCATGAAGTCTTGCAGTGGTATGCTTGGATTTGGGTTTAATTATGTTAATTATAGGATCCCAAGCAGATGGTAGCACCCAACCATCTTCTCTGTTGAAATTTGGTTGTTTTTTAATTTCAATAGCCTCGCGTATCATCCTTGGTAGGAATCGGTGTTCTTTTGCGAGAATTTGTGGTTTATCAAATCTAATGTAATGGTGGGGACGATCTTGAGCATATTCGCAGACTGCAGACTTCCCGGAGCGTCGGTGCTTCACATCAGCTATATGTTCCTTCACGCGGGTTTTTATAGATATCTTTGTTTGACCTATGTAAGAGAGACCACATTCACAATCTAGCTTGTACACACCTGCATCTTGTAGAGGAATATTACATTTGATGGATGGTAAAAATTAACTAATCTTCTTCAGCGGCTTGTAGTATGTCTTAATGGACGCTCGCTTCAAGATGTAGCCAATCTTGTCCGTGACTCCTCTGACATATCGTAGTAGAGCAGGCGCGCGCTCGATTGTGGCCGGCTTCACTCGTTCACTGTGACGTAGGCGCGGGATCCGAAGCTTGTCTTGCAATACTTGCTTGACGTGCTGAAGCTCCGCGGCCAGATGTTTTCTGTCACAGATCCCTCGTGCTCTCTGAAACAAAGATTTACCCACGGTAGCTAACTGTGAAGGATGATGGTGAGATTCACCATTTAGATATCGGTTGGTATGGATCTTTTTCCTATACACAGTGTGACCAATAGTGTTATCAGGATTTCGGATGACTAAAACATCTAGGAAGGCTAAAGAATTATTTGTCTCTAACTCCATTGTGAATTGTATTTAAGAGTTTATGGAGTTAAGGTTGTTTAAAAATGCAGTTACTTTGTCATATCCATGGCAGTACCGTCTAGACTTGCAGAAAGCCATGGTAATTCTGGTCGAACCAGCAATCCAGACTCTAAAATCATGCAGCTATAATGCTTTGCATATAAATCTCCTGCCACTGCTTCACAGCGAAGGCCTCTGATAGTATCTTCATTCCCAAGGAAATTACTGTCAAAAACCTCTTGATATCTTTTATCCCAATCAGCATTTTTATTAAAATAATAAGTAAACTGGGCTCTCGCTTTGGAGGCTGTTAGTCTTACTTAGCTACATATCTGTTGTAAAATTCAAATTCATTTACTTCACATGTCTTCAACTTTTCTTCAGTCAGTTTTCTTAATACATTCATTACCCGCCACAAATTAAAAGTCAATAGTTTTTCAGGAAATTTTGTCTTGTCTACACTTCTACTAATTACCCCTTCACCATAACCAACAACTCCATCACCTCTTCGCATGAGACTTGTAAATAAAGAATATTCACTGTTTGGTGTGCCTGAAATAAACAACATAATTTTTGAAACTTCATTTTAGTTTGTAACTGTACATTCAATCTGCAAATATAATATTTTTTATCAAATTGATGTTTTCCAGGTAGGTGCCATATACTCTTATGCTTTACAAGTATTTACTCTGTATTAACTTCATTCTCCAACGACTTTCCTTCTCTTCAGTGACTTCTGGCATTGTTTTCACATAGACGTCCCTCTGTCCTTTCACATGGCACATTTCAGACAATGACTTTGCTTCGTATTCCTTCAATGCTGTAGTTTTAAGTGTACCTCATTGTTTTTCAATGTCGGTACAACTCAGGTCCTCCAGATCTGCCTCCTCAGTTCTGAAAAAAGAGAAAAATAGCTAATCATTTACAATTATGGTCTAATTTTAGTACTTATATAGGTAAGTACTTTACATTATCTATTACCTGGCAGTAAAATTGTTACAGACAGACAGCCAGAGTAAATTAGGTACCTACTTTAACATTTATAGTATTCATAGTGCATATGGATGAGGTAGGACAAATGGATATAAAAGTTATTGATCAATTCACAAACCTTGAGAGATAAAGCATGACAGCTAATATGTGTTTACATTTCTCTGAAGCTCCAGCAGGGCAATCGCAGACCTTTGTGAATTCTTGTTCATTATCACCAACTAATCTATTTCCATATTCTTGAGATACATCTATCCATAGTTTTATAATGGCTGGATGTTTGGAATTTAATCCCGACGTGCGCAGTACCAGTGCTTGTACGTGAATTATGGTATTATTTTTTTCTTTTCTTCCAACCGAAATCACCATTCCACTCCGTAATAATTCTTCACCAGAACGCATTGGTTTTGTGTATCCTGCAGACGCATTAATTACATCGACTATTGACAACATAATTATTGTCTTAAACAGCAAAATGCCACATAAATTTTATTTGTATTTAATATTTATGTTTTTCCCTGACGTTAACTGTTACGAAAACTGTCAAAGCGTCGTTCTTAAACAGATTCACAATTTTGACACTAGAGGCGCTAGTTAGAATCTTGGGTGCGTTTGGCAGAAAAAAGCGCTAGCAAGCGCTTACAAGCGCTAAAATAGTTTTCGGCCAGGACACGATTGCTACTTCAGTAGCGCTGACATAATCCGCCATTTTGCTTATTTAATTTGTTTGTTTTGAAGTAGAGTTTAAAAGTTGTTTTGTGCAATATTAGTTTTAAGTAATATAATGACATGAATAAACATATACATGTTATTAAAAATTCATGATTGGTAAGTTTTTCATATGAATACTTTACAAAAATATATTTAAATTAGGTTAGGTTCCCCGGTTAAAACTAACATCGTGTCCTAGAGGAAAATAGCTACTTACGATTTGACAGCACTTACCGCTTACGATCGCCATTTTGCTTACAAGCGCTTGCTAGCGCTTTTTTCTGCCAAACGCACCCATTGGTTTGTATAACTTTTGCCTTGAAGTAGTTTCCGAGATATCGGCTGAAAACGTTTTTTCAAGATGGCGCTTGTACCGCTACCTGGATCTGTCGGCATTTTGTGATTTTATGCTGAATAAGTGATCCTAAACCTCTTAAAAAATAAAATTGAATCGGAAATTTCGTACAATGTTAAATTCTATTTTTACTGTACTATTTTATTAAACATTTTATTTGTCAACAACGTCTTACAATCGTTTCTCTAGCGCTCACGTGACCTTCATACAAATAATTCGATATTTTAATTGTTGATAATTTTTATTTTTGGATAAGAACATGTTAATGACTATAAAGTTCATAAAAGATAGCTTGATCTCTGCGACAGCTGTGAGTAAAATCACGCCTATGAAGTCCTGAATTTCTTAGTAGTACAGACACGTAGACAGAGACACCTATAGACTAACGATTAGCGTGGCCTCGAGTGAGAAAGGACGATAACGTAGTTTTAGGTTATACAATAATCTTTATGACTTTTAAACATATTTAGATAAAAAATTTAATTATTCTAGGAACTGAACTGGACAAGATTCACCAATCTTAAGCTCACAAAACATATTTTTCTCACTTAAATCAACTTGTAAACTCCTTAGATCGCTATGAACTGTCAAAGTTGTTTAGCAAAGTGTAGTTTGCTAAACAAAAAAACCGGCACGGTGAAAGGGACAAACAATCACGCCGCTCTGTCTCTTTTCTATGCAAGACGTATGCATAAATCTATCTTTTTCGTGTGCGAATGCGAAAGAAGGCGTCAATTTGTGTATAGATTTCTCTGTCTACGTACAGACAGTACCTGTCAATGTCATACTTTATGGGCATGCACTAATTAGGTCGGCATGCCCATAAAGTATGACATTGACAGGTACTGTCTGTACTACTAAGAAATTCAGGACTTCATAGGCGTGATTTTTACTGACAGCTGTCGCAAGATCAAGCTATCTTTTATAAACTACAAGTTATATTTACCTTCATTTAAAAAAATTGTCTTTGGCCAAACCTACTATATTCTTTGGCTTGACCATAGGTCCGACTAATAGGTCCATAGACTGACGGATCACCAGTGGTACATCAAATAAATATTAATTAAACTTACTGTCTGGTATGTCTGGATTACTTATTTCCTCCACTATTCTTTTCCATACAACATCCTTTTTAATTAAGTTGTGATAGTCATTTGATTGTGTGTTCCGTATTATAGGAAATTGTTTAACAGTTTCAATAAATTGCTCCATAATCGCTACTAAACGACCGTGCGTACAACAAAGAACACTGGACAGCACTGGCGAAGGATGTGCAAAGGGTGTGCGGGGTAGCGGGAGGGTCTTAGCTTAGCTCGTGTAGCTGCGCATCGGCATCCACAACTAACTTAGCTTCGCGTATTTTAGTTAGCTCACATAGCTTAGTTCGCATAGTTTGCGGTCTGCACACAAGTATGGAAAACTGCGTCAGCTATGCGAGCCAAGCTAAACTAACTTAGCTTAGCTCTTGGCCTGCAACCCATATAATGGTAGAGATAACGATGTCCTACTGGTCGATGCAATGCATAGATTTAGTATAAATACTAAATCTATGGGTCGACGGGTGTTGGTGTACCTTTTGGTTACAGCCAAAATGTAGTGATTATATACTCTTTGTTTTGCAGACCGATGTTATTTGTATGGGAACAAAGAGTATATAAATCACTAATTATAAACGAGCATAATATTATTGTATCTGAATGTATATCTCAAAACGTGAAGAAGGAAAATATATAAATTAATATGAAGTTCACAAAACAGTTTAAACCTAATACCCCTATTACACTACCCTGAATCAGGCTGCCTACGCCCTGATTCAGGGTGGTGTAATAAGAGAAAGTGAGTAAGGGTCCCTAATTAGGGCGACAAAGTGCACCCTGTCTGCAGCGCCCTTGCCACCGTGTAGTGTAACACAGTAGTTAGGGATGAAAACGATACATCAATTCTTTCAAACATCGATATATCGTTCAGAAATATGGAGTTATTCATGAGCGATGTTTTATGAACGATGTTTTGGCTTGCCGTCAAAGTTTCGAAATAACCAACTATTTCTATTTGAAGGTATAAAATTCCGTACCCATGTTAAAAGTTGCAAACGATGATTATCAAGAATCTTATATAGCCGAAAAATAAATATACTTACCAAAAAAATATAATATCTCAAAGTTAGATAACGTCTAAATTTTTAAAGTTAGAAGGTTTATTTAGCAGAAATATCACAATCCCGAAAATTTTAATTGCGAATCAACAAACAGGCGAATGGTCTTTCAGTCGAAAATAAATTGTACTCTCGAGTCAAATATACTTGAACTTCAGAAGTGCTTCAATCGGTTATTTCATTTTTGATGTAAAATTGTGATTAATTTTTATTGTGGTAATGAACTAACATAAGTTTACAATTAATATTGAAAATGGATTGGAATTTTTTTATTCATTTTTTTTATTAATAATTATAGGTATTGTTTGAGCTTTAACTTAATCAATAGCTTAAGTACAGTCTTTTAGGGTAATAGTTATTTTGTATTGGAAATTATTTTATCGGCTTACGGTACTTCGTATTTCATTACAATCACTTTTCTGAAACATTGATTTTGATGGATGAACGGTTATTCAACTGCTTGTATTTCGGTATAGTTTAGTATGTAGATGTATTTAGAAAATGCGATAGTACTGAAGGTGACATATGGAACTACCATAAAGAAGTAACGCACCAAAACATAAAAAATAAAACTAAAGCAGAAGAAGAGTTTCATATATTACATGCGTTGGAGATGTGGGATGGCATGAAAGGGTTATTTCCCGCGCTTTATACCTTAGCTAAGGTCTATTTGCCTATCGTGGCAACTTCGGTGAGCGGTTATTTTCAGAGTCTGGATCTACAATCACCCAGGAGAAACCGCTCACTAGGCGCCAGATTGTTAAAATTGTTATTTTAAATTTCAATTCGAAAGAAATAAACGTAAAAGTAAAAGAAATATATTAATTCTTGTTTTCTGATAATAATTCGATAAAAATAAATGTGTAAAAATAAATAGTGTAAAACTTCCTAAAATAACATAAATATAATGTTTGATTATTATACTTCTTTTTTCCTTTCTGTTCAAAATTATCATTTATTCTATATATATGTATGTATATATTTCAATGGTGATAAAAACATCGAAAAATTCAATATATTGAACATAAGCTTCCATGTTTTAATGAGCGATGTTGCATCCTATAGACGTGCTTACTCGGAAAAATTACGACTGGAGGTCACTCGAGTTGAAATTCATGCAACTCAAACTAAACTCGAGTAAGCGGGACGAAACAGAGTAAATGATTTGTTACAAATCACTTTTATTAATTTATTTTTCTATCTAACTCTTTGATGGGTTGAGTCAACTATCTTTACTAAACTTAGTAGGTAGTAAAAAGGTATATTTATTATGTATTATATACTTGTGTATTTTTGGTTTTAATCAATATTAGTAAGTACCTATGCTTAAAAACAAAATTAGCTTCATAGCAGTCTTCACAAAACAACATCTGTTTAGTTTTAAGATGTAGGTAAATAAGCTATTTAATAGTTCAAATATTCTTAAATAACTTAGCCGTCATAAAATTCTAAATAACAAATTATTATGGTAGTAGCTAATACTCTTTGAAACACAAAGCGCGCACACAAATACACCCACATAAATCGCTAGAAATCTTAGTCACAAATAATCTTTGCCTACACTTACACTCTTTCTTTAAACCGTATTTTGTTTTTCGATATAAGGAACTAAACTTAATAGCTCCTCGAACTCCTCTTCTCCTATTCTCAAGTATTCGAAATTCATTAAGCTCCAGAACTCCGATAAACCGCAAATTTGAGTAATTTTACCTAAGTTTTAAATAGACCTTCTTCCATATCTTTCTTCTAAACACGACAATAGTAAAGAAAAGAGTACTATTAATTGTCATGTCTTTTTTCGTCTTCAAAACGTCCAGTAACAAAATTTTGGCCCTTATGGTACATCATACAAAACATGACGATATATCGATATTAATCACGCAATAATATTGAGTGTTTAAAAATATCGATTCTATAAATATATATACTTTTTTACATCCCTATGACTGAGAAAGGGCGTAAAATCAGGGTAGTGTAATAACTCAGGTCCCTAATTAGGGGACACGCCCATCCTTCATTCAGGGCCCTGATTCAGGGTAGTGTAATAGGGGCATAATAGTGGCCGCATAGTATTTCTTATCATAACAAGAAATAATTGATGCATGACGAGAGCTAGATTTTTAAAGAAATCCGGGACGTATTAGATATTTTGCGAGATTGCCTTACTAATTATTGCAAAACATAAATACAAATTTTCATTGCAGAATCGCCAACTCAATTAGATATGTTTGA